TGCCCATAGCTTTGGCAACTTTCCCTACTCTCCTGTTTGCCCACTGGGGTATCTTGCTTTCTCATCTTGGCTTCTCTGCTGGCACATGAGCACCCCAAGGCCGTGCTCTGCCTGGCTAGCGTGCCTCTCAGCCTGTGGCACCTCCACTGTCCTCTGAAGCGTGGGGTCGCAGGAGTGCACTCTTAGCTGTCTCGTCTCTCTCCATTTCTGTGGCTTCAGTTATCTCTGTGAGAATGTCTTCTGAGCTCTGGACCCACTGAATATCTCTAAGCTGTCACTCAGTACATATGTCTACTTTGTAGACAGTATGGAACTATGTGCCAGGCATAGTTACAGGTCCTCAGACCCCACTACACAGGCACATCAAATATGACTCCTGGCTTAAGCCAGAAACCTGGGGCAATTTTAGATTTCCCTCTCTCATCTCTCATTTCTAGAATCCAGCCCCTTCTCTCCACTCCCAGTGCCTTAAGTTCAGGCCCTTGTCTCTAACCTGGACTGTTGTTAAGATTGTTCTCCAGCTGCTCTCTAAAATGTCCTGTACTTCTCCACAAGGCCACAGAGTGCTAAAAACACTTTAGTCATTTCCTGTTGTTGCCTATGAAAACCCCGTAGTGTGGCTACCAAGGCACTCCGTGGCCCAGCCTCTGCTGTCTGTGGCTGAACGCTTGGCCCCTGGACCCTGCATTCCCACCCGACCCCACTACCCTACCTCACTACGGGCAGTGAGTCCAGGTCCCTGGCCCTCTCTCCACTGTTGGAAAGCTCTCTTACACTGCTTTCCACGTCTGTCACCCACTGCACTGTAAACCTCCTGAAGGCACCCAGCATTATTCCAGGCACATTGTAAGTGCTCTTTACTGTTGTTTAGTGAATGAAGAAATCAAAACAAGAAGGGCTGCTCTTTTTTTTTCTGCAGAACGGAGTGTTTTAGTCACCAGTCTCCCAGGTGGCTGACCCAGGGCCTGGCACACATAAGTCACACAAAGCCAGCGTACCCTGAGCAGGTGTGTAATCTCCCAGTGTTTTCACGGTACGCAGGCTCCTCTGCTGCTGCCTCTTGGGCCATGGCCTGGCCAAGGCAGCTGAACTGCTGCCACTTCGGGCAGTTGTTGTGTCACTTTACTGTGCCTTCAAGCTAAGATAGGCAGTGGTTTGGGAGAGGAATCTGTATTCTGATGGCCAGGGCTGTACTGCAGTCCTCCCTCTGAGGTGCAGGCTGGATACTGTCCAAGTATATGCTTGAGATGGAGTACTGGGTAATTAGTGCTGTTTAAACAGTGTTACTAGTAATTGGTCTGCAGTGCATACTGAGGGCTAGTGTCAAATATTCAGGAAGCCGTTGCGTGTGGCCAGGGAGCTGTTTGATACCCTGTCCTGCATTAAACAGACTGACCTATGACCTGGAGGATTACCTGTATTTAGCTCTGCACAGGAGGGAGAGAAACTTTTATAGCATAGTGGCCAAAGATTTGTGGCAGCTTTATAAGCAAGCCTTTATGGCCATGCTTTAAAATTAGGGATTTTAGGCCTCAGGAAATATCAGTTGAGGGCTAATGCCAATTCTCAGTGGAAGCTGAATTGGATGTCCCAAATTCGGCATCATAACGGCTGATTCAAACCCGCGTTCTATGGGAAGCGCGGCCCCAAGTGTTCCCTGTGATCCCCTCATCGCGCGTCTCCCCCCACGTGCCCACGAGCCCCGCGCTGCAGCCTCGCGCAAATCTGGCAGACACGTCTTGTCCCCTGTCGGCGGGGTCCAACAGACCCTCCGGGAGGCGAGCTGCAGCCTGGGGGCTGGCGGAGGGCGATCGACTAGGAATTGTCGCCATCCGGCCCTCGGCCTCTGCGAAGCCAGGTCTAAATTATAGCATTTAGGGAATTTTGGATTAAATTATGAGACATTCTTCAAGTTGGACACTTGTGCCTCCGGGCGGTTTCAGTTCCTCCAACCCCAGCCCCGTTTCTGCACCCCTCCAGCCTTACCCTCTTCCTTCACCGGCGCCCAGCTCCAGCCCTGCACAGGCGGCCCTGGCCTCGCGGGGCTGTCGCCCAGCCCTCCGCTCCCTGGGTGGCCACCCCGAGGCCGGGGGGCGGGGCTGCGGCGGCGCCGGCAGGGCCGCGAGGGCGGGGCCGCGGGCGGGGGCGGCGCTGCCCGGAGCGCAGAGAGTCGAGCGAGCGCGAGCGCCAGGCGCTGGGGCCAGCATGGCGTGGCCCTGCATCAGCCGCCTCTGCTGCCTGGCGCGGCGCTGGAACCAGCTGGACCGCTCCGACGTGGCTGTGCCACTGACCCTGCACAGCTACTCCGACCTCGAGAGCGAGGAGCCGGGCCTGAGCGGTGCCACCTCACGCAGGGGCTCGTCCCTCGCAGGCTCGCGGGACCCCGGCCGGGACGTGCCGCTTACTCAGTACCAGCGGGACTTCGGCGTGTGGACGGCGCCCGCGGGGCCCAGAGATGCAACACTGGGGCGCGGGTCGGGAGCGGGCGGCCGCAGGATCAAGCCCCCCGCGCCCTACAGCCGGGGGGTCTACGTGCTCCCCGTCGGCGACGCAGATGCGGCTGCAGCGGTGACCACATCGTACAGGTATGAGGCTGGGGGCAGGGGAGCGCATCGTACGCAAACCACGTGATCCCAGGAGACTGAGCTGGGGAGCCTGGAGGACCAGGGTGGGCGGGAGGGAGGAGGCGCCTGGAGCCCCTATCCCACACGACGTAGAGAGCCGCGGGCGGCCTCCGAGGTCATCCCGTTTGGTTCCTGGCACTGCCAGCGTCTCCTTCGATGCTCCCTGACCAGACTCAGAGTGAGCGAGCGAGCGAGCACCTCCGTGGCGGCGAGCTCACTACCTCACTCGCTGCCCTCTCGGGCAGTCCTGTCGGAAAGCCTGCCTTCGACCGAGTTAAAATCCTCTTCCCCTTAACTTCCACCAGGTGGGCCTAGCCATAGGAGGGGTGCTCGCAGGCCAACTGCCTGAGGATCGCCTTCTGTGGGGGCGTTGGTGGTGAGGACCAAATGCAGAGCTTCCAAGTGGGTGGTCCCCTAGAGATGCCACTGAGTGACTGAAGGCAGCTGATGTGGCTTTCACTGAGGACAGGCCTGTGTTCTGCTCCTGGACAACTGAGGGCTTTCTCTCTTCTTAAAACAACAGTGATCAGAAAAATTGGAAATTACGGAAATTACAACATAGAAAATGAGTATGCCCTTAATCCTACCCCAAACTCGTAGTTCTTTCTAGTCCTTAACATGCATTTGAGTGCGTATCTTTTTATAATTCTTGCATAGTTAGATTTGTAAACTGTACATGTTTTTTTTTCTTTCACGTATGGTGGATGTCATTCTGTGTTACTAGATGCTCTTCTACAACATGAATTTAATGGATGTGCAGTATTTTATCTTATGGATATACATTATCCATGTACTGATATATATGTCCAAATATTAACCTACTCTCATGTCATTAAATATTTAGGGTGTTTCTAATTTGGGGCTATTAAAAACACCCTACAGGTAACCTTGAACATGGGGTGGGAGCTAAGGAGTATAAGGTACGTGTCAACAATAGTACAGCAGAAAATGGAAACAGTTCCATTGTCCTACTGATGTAGGGGACTGGTTAATTATAGCTCTGCCATAGGATGGGCTACTGGGAAGCCCAGAATGTACTGATAATAGAAGATGTCAAAAAAGATGCAGAACGATACATCTGCTACTATTTGTGTTTTTAAAGGGGTTATTGATACATAACATATCTGCTGAAATAAGCGTAGGATGTCTCTGCATGGATGTGTGAGAAAATGGTAACCTTTAGGGAGAGGAAGAAGGGGAAGGAGTTGTGGATGCTGCCAGGGGTGGAAGGAGACCGAGGGACTTTTCACTCTGCCCTTTTGAACCACTGCTTTGGTTTTTTTTTTGTTTTTTTCTTTTGGCTGTGCCACATGGCTTGCAGGATCTTAGTTCCCCAACTAGGGATGGAACCCATGCCCCCAGCAATAGAAGCACAGAATCCTAACCACTGGACCACCAGGGAATTCCCTGAACCACTGCTCTAAAAAAAAAAAGTACATGTATTACCTTTAACAAAAAATTTTAGAGAAAAAAATATCACCTTTGATCAGCATTCTTGTAGCTAAATCTTTGCTTATACAATAATTTCTTTAGTATGAATTCCTACCTGTGGAATTAAGGGCCAAAAGGTATGAGCTTTCTCTTTCAATTTTATTACTTTTAAAATCAACTGTATTGAGGTATAATTTCCATATAGTAAAATTCATCCATTATAAGTGTACAGCTGGATGACTTTTGTATACACCCGGGCATCACCACCATAATTCAGACATGTGGAACATTCTGTCTCCCCAGAGGTTCCTTCACGGGCATGGAGGTTTTAAGGAACTCGATGGGGAGTGACTGTTTCAGGATGGGTCTTGTGTTCAGGGACTTGTGCTCAAGCTGAGCTGCAGAAATGCAGCCAGGGGTGTCAGGGGCAGGGCAGACACTGAGCCGCAGCACTGGGGCCCCAGCCATGCAGTGGACGGTGCCGACTGCTGCGCGACGGGGCCCTGAACCATCCGGAGGGGCCTTGAATGGTGACAGGTCTGGAAGGCCAAAAGGTCCTGGGTGTGCAGCACCTTCAAATGGCTGATGTTCCAGGCACAGACGGGGGCGGAACTTGCAGGGAGATAGCTTCAGCTCAGGGAAGGAAGCGCTTTCTAATAATTAGAACTGACTGCGATGGGTAAGGTCACGTGGTGCTGATCTCCTGCGCACTGGAAGTGTCCAAGCAAAGGCTGGACTTTTAGAAGCCATCCCTCACCCTTGCTGAGCAGATGGCAGGTTTGAATGTCCTGCTGGGTCCTTCCAGCTCCAGTGATACTAAAGGTACTAGTTATTACTCTCTGCTTGGCACATACCAGGCACCAGGCTTAGGACTTCCCACAGACTATCTCCCCAAGACTTCACAATAACGCCCTGGAATAAGTTCAGTTCTTGCTGTCCCCATTCTATAGATGAGGAACTTGAGTGGCTGGCACGAGGTCACGCAGAGCAGAGCAGAACCCAAGTGTGTCTTGCCTCAGAGACCAAATCTGTGCCCCTAATAGGTTATCAACCCCTAAGATGCTGCCTCCTCTGAATCAGGTAGTTGCTTGACCTGTGTCCGGCAGTGGTGGAAAAGTACCGAGTTGGGCAAGAGTTGGGACTCACTAGAGCTCTCCTTCCTGGTATGTAAACTTGGTGGGTCACTTGGCCCCTCTGACCTCATCTGTAAAGCAGAAATAGCAAGAGCTTAGCTGCCTGGGTCACCTGGCAGAGACATAGGACCACTGCTGAACTTGGCTCCCCCAGCACCGTGCGAGCCGACCTCGGGGACCCTCCATCTCCCAGCTCTACTACTGGAATGAGCAATTCCATCCCACCTGCCTTCTTGAAAGATGCACATTACCTAAGCCAACTATTTAAAGAAATTTACAAAGCAAAGGAAATGAACAGATCCAGAGAGCCCAGGGATACCAGTGCTCCTGGCTACTCTCCACCCCAGCAGGTCCTGCCTCTCCTGGCCCTTGGTCTCCAGATGAGAACTGACCTGCCTCTCACTCACTCGGCCAGATGGGCAGCGGGTCCTGCCCACTGCCAGCCTTCCTCCTGACCAGCTCCTCCCAGAGCCTTCCCTCCAGAGTTTGGTGTGTCAGCACCCCTGGCCCAGTCGTCTCCCTCTTTCCTTCCTGGGTGAGTCAGTTAAAGGGCCAACAGTCAAAGTGCCAGACTTGACTTCCACTTTTCCAAGTGCCCATCGGGAAGGCTTAGGGAAGTTCAGGGATTTGTTTGAAGCCATGTTGGCCTGAGAACCCAGGCCTCAGGATCCTCAGTCTGGCGCTCTGCAATGCCCTGGGTGGCTCCCTGCCCCTCAGCAGGAGGGACTGCGGCCCTCAAGGTCCAGCTGAGGCTCCCATGAGGTGGACAGTGGTGGAAACTGCTTGGTGAGGGGAGGCACAGTGGACTCAGCTAGTCCTGTATTATCTCCTTGGCAGGCCATTAGCCTGCCCTCCTCATCTCCTGGGCAGTCACCAGGCCCTGCCGAGTCTGTCTTCAGTGTCCCTTCTCCATCCCCACTGCAGGCCTCCCTCTCACCTGGGCTCCAGCACCAGGCCTGTCCCACAAGCAACCACAGGCACTGCTGTAGCCCCTGGCTCTGGTCACCTCCTGCTCTGGGACCCCTGCAGCCACCCTGGGGCAGCAGGCTTGGGCTGCCAGACCCAAGGCTCAGCTCAGTGTGGAAACAGAAGGGCACACCAAGGGGAGGACCTGCTTCCCCAGGAGAAACAGAGTAGCAGATGGCTCGGGCAGCTGGTCTTTGAAACCTTGCAGCTTTGGAAGCAAAAGTTATCCAATAGGGCCTTGGCCCAATTCGCCTCCTGGTACCCAAGTGCTGACCACAGACAGACACAGCTGCTCCCTGCACACGTGTCGTGCCCACTGGTGCCCAGCTGTGCTGCTAAGGAGAAGAGGCTGCTTTGTTGATCTCAGGGCCTGAAACGTGGCCAGGGCTGTGGATGGGGTGAGATAGGCTGGGGTGGACCCACCCCAAATATGGATGCTGCCTCTGGCCATCTGGACCCTTTTCCTCAGAACATCACCTTGGCCAGCGGCTCCTGTGGGCACAGGAGGTCTCTGCCATTTAGTAGGGGAGTTGATAGAATTAAAATAGGTTTTGTTTTTTTTTAAAGAGGAACTGAGGAATTAAGTCTTTGTCAAAAGAATGCTACTCTGAGCACTTGGAGCTAGGCCGTGCCAGCCTTGTCACTTCCCTCCAGGTAGCCAACACCTACCCCTGTGCAGACCACCGTCCCTCCCTGCTCTGGCGCATCAGTGCCGCAGGCACAGCGCCATACAAAAGCCACAGCGCCAGGCTGTCTTTATTTTCTTTAGATGGTCTCTACGATTTATACTCTTTTGCAGGAGTTAATAAGACAAGTTATTAAAAACTAAACACAACACTGAGCCTCATTTTCTTCCTCAGTTGTAACCAGGTATGGAGGACCATGCAGTGTGCTGTCCAGTCCATCACCTCCTCTGGACATAAGGGCCACCAGCGACGTGGGCTGCAGGCGAGCGACTTTCGCTGGTTCTGAGCCTTTATGGCCCCTTGAAGTGGCCCGGAGGCAAGATAGGGAGCCCTGGAGGGCAGGGCTGGAACGTGCTGTCTCTGAGGGCCAGCACACGCCGGGGAGCTCGCAGTTCGGGATGAGTAGGATCCAGTTGTTGACTGAGCTCTCTGCTTACTCCCCATGCAGCCTGTGCCACTGCTCCCCAGCAGCGCGAGAGAAAATTCCTGC